TAGCCACTTCCTCTTTAACCTGTCTTTGCCCTTTGGGGAACCAATTCAATTCTATGTTGTACTCTTTTCTTGACTCTCCAGGCCCTTTATCATTTCGATGATTGTGCTCTGCGAGGCTTCAGCCTTGGATCACTCCCACCACTCATGGTTTCCTACATATGCTGTTTTCATCCTTAAACCTTTTCATCCCTCTTCAAACTTCCCATGGTTCTTCTTTCCCTCACCCTCACATCTGAGAACCTTTCGTCGTATTTTACAGAAGACAATTGAGGCCATTTGCGGTAAGCTCCCTTTTCTTCCCTCTTTCTCATCTCCTCTCATTCAGATGTTTTCTGCAACTTTGTCTTCTTCATCCCTGTCTCACATGATAAAGTGGTCTTACCCCTTACTAAGTCTAACCCCCCTACCAGCTCAAGCAGTCCCATTCTATCCCATCTCTTATCCCATGACAGATTGTCACCTCTGTCATCCCCACTCTTTCACTTATTATCAGTCTCTCCCAGTTCGTTTCCTACAAATGTATCCATGTCTCCTCCATTCTCAAAAGAACCCCTCTCACTTGGTCTTTCCATCCCCACTACCTGATGTCCTATACCTCTCCTGCCCTTTATGGATAAACTCCTTAAAAAAACTGTTTACACTAGGTGCCTCCACTTTCCTCTCTCACTTTTTTTTTAACGTAGTCTAGTTTCTGACCTTATGTTCCACCAGAACTCCTCCCTCCAAAGATTTTTGTTGTTCAGTCATTTTTTTAAATTGTGTCCAACTCTTTATGATCCCATTTGGAGCTTTCTTGGCAAATAGTGGAGTGGTTTATCATTTCATTCTCCAGCTCATTTTATAGATGACTTGTCTAGAGTCACACAGCTAATAGGTGTCTGAGGCTGGATTTGAACTCATTTCTTCCTTATTCTAGGCCCAGTGCTCTTATCACATAGCTACCCAAAGGTCCAATGACTTTTTCTCAATCTCCGTTAATCATACTCTCCTCCTTGATTCTAAGTTTTTGGGACATCACTATCCTGGTTTTCCTCCTACCTATCTGACTATGCCTTCTCTGTCTCCTGTGTTGGATCCTTCTCCAGATCACACCATCTGACTCATAGGTGTGACTAAGAATTCTGTCCTGGGTTCTCTATATACTGCTTCACTTGGTGATCCCATCAACTCTTGTGCATTAAATTATAGTCCCCCATATTTGATGGGAAAATCATACCGGGTCTGATTACGTAGTGCTTTCATTGATCCTAAAACGTGTGCTTCTGGAAAACTCTTCTCTAATACTCATTCTCCCAGTGGTAGATATGTGGGATAACACAATGTCAGAACAATAAAAATTTCTTGCAGTCCAAAAAGGCAACAGGAAGACATGACAGATATAAGCTGTTTGCAAATGAGAAGTGATCTTTAGTCACATGACCAGAAAAGGAGGTAGGGGAGGGATGAGAGGTAGTAGACAGGCAACCTGCATACTAAACTGGTATTTTTCAGATAGTTGAAGAACAAGAGGAATGCCTTCTGCATGTTAGGAGGATTTAGGAAAGACAGAACTGTCAACCTGCACAAGATAAGGCACAAAGTGATTTGGAGAGTTAAGTCTTCCTACTAATTCCATAACTTTTACTTACATACAATTTGCTGTAGTTATCAGTGATGCTTTTAGAGTACAGGCATATATCCGAGATATTTTGGGTTTAGTTCCAGACCACCACAATAAAACAAATATCTCAGTGAGTCACATGAATTTATTTGGTTTCCCAGTGTATATAAAAGTTATGTTTACACTGTGTTGTAGTCTGTTAAGTGTGCAATAGTATCAGGTCTAAAAAAAACAACGTACATACCTTATTTTAAAAAATACTTTGCCTCGGTCTGCAGCCAAGGCAGGAGTGCAATAAGGTGTTGGAGATGTTTGATTGGAACCTGGAGCAGGCTGGCTACCACCTGCTAGATTCCTGTGGTCCCACCCACCATAGGCACTGATGGTAGGTCTGGGGAGCCTGAGAGTCTGACTTAAGAAGGGGAGGGGGGGTCCTGTTAGTCTGCCTGAAGGATTGTTTGAGCTTGTGCTGGATGGCGGGGGCTGGGGAGGGGCCTGGGGAAACTTGCTCCTGCTACCTTCTCCCCCCATCACTTCACTTTTCAGATAGGCAGAGAAGAGCCAGAAGGAGCAGGAGACTTAGATGGGACCATCCTTCCACAGTGCTAGCTCTAGTCCTCCATCCATCTGCTCTTCCCTTGGCCATTCCAGAGGGACAACGGAGAGGGAACATCCAGGAAGGGGGTGAGGAGGCATGCAGAGCTGGTCTGAAGGAGAGCTAGAGACAGTCCCAGGCACAATTTCCCCCTCTTCTCCTGGCCCTTTCAATTTCCATCTGCTATGATGCCTCACTTCCCTTTAGGGACCAGATTGTAGGGAAAACCTCAAGCCTGTCTGCTTGTCTCTGTGGCATTACCCATTCCTATAAAAGCTGAAAGAAGGGGGGGCCATGAGTGCAGGAGTGAGACCCCAATGCTTTGCTCATCTCAGTGGAGTCTGCTAGCTTCCTGGCAGGTGTGGTGCCATAAAACAGGCTTGATTGTTACGGGGGAGAGAGCACTCAGGATACAAATCACTGTCGATCCTCTTCCTGGGGTTGGGGAAACTGGGGTGGGGGGGGGGTACTGTCACTCAAGGTCAGGAATTTCAGATGTTGGGGCAGCTAGGTGGCGCAGTGGATAGAGCACCGGCCCTGAGGTCAGGAGGACCTGAGTTCAAATGCGGCCTCAGACCAAACACTTGACACGTACTAGCTGTGTGACCTTGGGCAAATCACTTAACCCCAGTTGCCTCACTAAAAAAAAAAAAAAAATTTCAGATGTTGAAGGCAGGGACAATGGAAGCCCAGTTCCAGGGCGGGGATAGAACCCCAGGATGTGCAAAAGGGAACAGATACTGGCAGCTAACCTGAGACCAATGCTCCCACCCCAGCTCACTTCTGTTTTGTGTTTTTCCCCCAACAACCTCTGTTGCTAAAGTTGCTGCTCTTATCCTGCCTCCACATATTTGCTTCTTCCAGAGAAATAAAGTTAGTTTCTATTTTACATTAAAAAAGAAAAAGAAAAGCTTATCTACTTTGATGAAGGCAGTGACCCAAGACAATTCCATAGGACCCATGAGGAAAAATGCTCTCCACCTTCAGAGACAGAACTGATGAATTCTGAATGCAGATTGAAATACGCTTTTTTTTAAAATTTCCTTATTTTTAGAATTTTGTTTTGTTTTGCAACGTGGCTAATATAGAAGTATTTTTTATATGACCTCACATGTTTAATCAAAACCATAGTGTCTTCTCAAGGAGGGAGCAAGAACGAAGGAGGGAGGGAATTTGAAATTCAAAAGTTTAGACAATGATTATTTTAAACAATTTTACTTGTGATAGGGAAATTTTTAATGAAATAATTTTACATTTAAAAAATACTTTATTGCTAAAAACGCTAACCGTCATCTGAGCTTTCAGTGACTCATAATCTTTTTCCTTGTGGAAGGTCTTGCCTCAATGCTGATGGTTGCTGACTGATCAGGGTGGTGGTTGCTGAAGGTTGGGTTGGTTATGGCGTTTTGTTAAAATAAGACAACAGTAAAATTTGCCCCATCAATTGACTCTTCCTTTCATGAACAATTCTCTGTAGTGTGTAATGCTGTTTAGTAGCATTTTACCCACAGTAGAACTTATTTAAAAATTGGAGTCAGGCCTCTCAAAACCTGCCAGTGTTTATGTAATATTCTTCAATATTGTTGTGTCTCAGAGAATAGGGAGGTCTGAGGAGAGGGAGAAAGACCAGGGAATGGCTAGTTGGGGAACACTCAAAACAAACGCAACAATTAAGTTTGCCATCTTATACGGGTGTGATTAGTGGTGCCCCAAAACAATTACAATAATAACAGCAAAGATCAGTGATCACAAATCACAAGTAACAGATAAAATGATAATGAAAAAGTTTGAAATGTTACAAAAATTACCAAAATGTGACACAGAAACACGGATGTGAGTACATGCTGTTGGAAAAACAGTGCCAATAGATTTGTTTGACAAAGGGTTGCCACAAAACTTCATTCTGAAAAAACAAATAAAGCAATAACAGTATCTTCAAATCACAATAAAATGAGGTATGCCTGTAAAATACACATAACATTATTCATAAGCTGAGAGCTTGGTTTAATAATTAAAAACAAAACTACCTGAATCAGAAGAACTAGGTCCAGACTGCCACTAACAGTGTACGCATAGGCAAATTCACTTATTCTGTCTTAATTTCAGAAGCCTTATCTCAAAAATAAGGAGGCCTAGTCAGGTTATCTTTGAAGTCCCTTTCACACATTTTTTGCAGTGTGATTATTATGAGCATCTAAGTGATATCCCTAAGGTCAATTGATGTTATAGTGCTATTTGCCTTTATATTGCACAATTACCCTCCTCACCACTTTTTTATACTTTTGCCTGCTTTTTAATAGTCCTATTGATTGATTTTTGTCAAGTCTCATATTTTGTCTACTTTCACATACCTGCCTCATACCATGCCACCTTTTCTAATTTTCTGCTTTTAATCTTCTGTGATCATGGGACAACTATGTAACCATGCATACTAGATTTCTGTAAGATAGGAGTAAAGAGGTTCTGAGTAAGCTCTTAAGGGGCCAGGTATGTAAATCTCAGTGAGATTTATAGGCCTCTTTTTTCATTATTTCCTGGTTCTGATTCTGTTTGGATATTTGAGTTTATTTCTGGGAAAGTGAATTTGTTAGCTTTCTCTACAAATATTTATGGTATATATTATCCTATATCTTTTTCTATCAGTATTTAAATGGAAATCACACTTGAAAAATCTCTTTGCTTTAAGGAACAAAAAATGTGAAGGTTGAGTCAAAATCAGCTGTTACTATGGGTTTTTTATTAATTTGAAGATTGAAAGAAGACAAATTTAACAGCCATCTTTTTTTTTTTAATTTCATTTTTTAGATTGTCACCTGAACATTGTGATAATGTGACGATTAGGATGCAGTCATGTCTACTCTCTGTCCACCACCATCTCCAGCCGTTGCCAAAACTGAGATTGCTTTAAGTGGTGATTCACCCTTACTAGCAGCTACTTTTGCATACTGGGACAACATACTTGGCCCTAGAGTAAGGCACATTTGGGCTCCTAAGACACAGCAACTGCTTCTCAGTGATGGAGAAATAACTTTTCTTGCTAACCATACTCTAAATGGAGAAATCCTTCGGAATGCAGAGAGTGGAGCCATAGATGTGAAGTTTTTTGTGTTGTCTGAAAAAGGAGTAATTATTGTTTCGTTAATCTTTGATGGAAACTGGAATGGGGATAGGAGTACATATGGACTGTCAATAATACTTCCACAAACTGAACTCAGTTTCTACCTTCCCCTTCACAGAGTGTGTGTTGATAGGTTAACACACATCATCCGGAAAGGAAGGATATGGATGCATAAGGTGAGTAGGTTCTTGAGTCCAGCATTTTATTTACTTTATTACTGTATTCTGTTTGCTCTTGACCAATCATTTCAATTTTGTGATTTCCTCTACCCATGCAGATCAGCACTTGCTTTGTATTTTTAGTCTTAGTTGCCTAAATCACTGAGAGAGGGTTCAGTAGCTACTACTTGAGTGCAGGGGTCCTGACCCAAGGAATCCTAGCCCACTGCAGGATTGCTTAAAAGAAATAAGGTCAGTGTTTCATAAATGATAATAACAGAATAGGTTTAAAGGATGAAAATAGAACCAGATATGCCAGATATGCTTTTCTTCAAGGGAAGAATTTTGGAAACAGAAAAGTTCTTAAATGAGATAAGAGGAACAAAAAAAGATAATAATTTTAATACTATTAAAGTCAGTTGGTCCTTTTGTAATCCTAAACTACCAAATGCTAGTTTTGACATTTTATGTTACATCATTCATATTATACTCTACTAGTACACCTAACTTTTTGGTATTCCATCTTTGTTTTATACAAAGATGTTTCCTCAAAATATCCTCATGTTCTACCTCCTCTACACCTGCTATAATCTTACTTAACTTGATTTAAATGCTTTTCTTTGTCATTATGATAGTACTTATGTTTGTCATTATTTATAATTTTTTGTCATTATGAAAATATAGTGCCCAAATGAACACTATTTGATATCTAAGTAGAAAGATAGTTATTCTCAGCATTTCAAAAGACAGTTTTAATTGGTAACTTGGTGGGGAAAAGAAATTGCATCTGAATTTGGAATTTAGGGTAAAATGTTAAACTGATTCTATAATTTAGAAAAATATCACCCCGTAAGTGGCGTGTTTTTGTATTTTGCACTTCCTCACCAAGCTATTGAAAATCCATTGAAAGTTTTATTTTTATATTATATTTGGGTTTCATTTTTTGACCACTTTTTTGAAAGATTGGGCAATTTGAAACTCATTTCTTTCCCTCTGAAGTGGAAACCTATTCATATCAAAATATTAATCCTATTTCCAGGAGTTCTGAACATTATAAAAACTGAACTTATATTTATAATCTATAGGAGCTTTAAAATAGGTTCCCCTTTTTTGATTACTGTGTTTTATTATGGCTCCTTTTTACAAAAGAATATATATGCATATACACGTGTTAAATTTACTTAAATTTAAATGATGGACAGAGATTAACTGGCATTTCCTTTTGAATATATTCACCACTTTGTGTTTTGAACTGTATTAGGCTTCACACTCCTTTAGAAAATATTCTGCTTTTGTAACACTCTGGAAATCTTTAAGGAATGAATGACAAATGAAAAACCATTTATTAAACACTTATGTACGTAGCGTGATGCAAAGTCCCATGGATATAGTAGAAAAGCAAGACAGTCTCCGCTGTCAGGGAGCTCATTCCACCTGGAGGTGACATACCGGAAATTTCATCTGAAAGACAGATGGAAAAATCGCATGGTTATTACAGTTCAGTGTCAAAGCAAGTGCTAATGTATTTTCTTTACCATATTATTTTCATAGTTAAGGCCATATACATTTCTGATAATGAACCATTTGACAATGCTAAGGACTTTGGTGATGAGAATGTTCAAGGTCCTTACTGTCTCCATTAGGTCTGAGAAGGCAGTTGATGGTGCCAGTGAATTGGCTCCCATGGTACATACTGCCTACTGCTCCAAAAGTGTGATTTGTTATTTCAGCTGTCTGGCTTATCTGTCCTGTAAGCAGAATTGGCTGGCAGTTGGTAGTTCCATTCTCCATCAGGGTTGCTGCCTTGGATAATGGGTAGAGAGCAAATGGCACACATTTGTTCTCATGAATTTATTCATCATATTCAACGTATTCAAATGTTGCTTTATTCTAAACACTGCACCCCTGCATCATTGTCTTATAAAATCAGTAAGGGCTCTTTTTCTACACATTTTACTCATCATGGGGCTTAGTGGTAGTGTTGTTTCTCATTTTATGATTTAGTAGTAGTAATAAAGTCTTTTTTAAAAAAAAATTAAAATTCTGTGTTTGTACTTTTTCCTGATATGTTGCTTTTTACATGCAGTACCTCATGATGAAGTACTATAGTATTGCTTTCTACTTGTTTTCATAAACTATGAAAGGATATTCTTGAATAAGCATTACCTTTTTAAAAAAAATAGAACTCAAAAGCAGCTTGTTTGGAAATTCTGTCTTCTTAAGATTGTGCCTAGAGCCAAGGCTTTACCTGGAAATAAAGACATTTCCATACTATTCTGACCCAGTGTTCCTTTCACTCAGTTTTCTGTAATTACATGATCCCAAGAAATGTACTATGGGAGAGTTATCCATTCTTGCACTAACCTTAAAAAAAAAAAAAGCTATATACTTACATCTTTTGTAGTCGTTTAGTCAGATCTCTCTAAAATATATTTGTTTTTCATGGTAGTAACATCTCTTCATTTAGTCATGACTTGTGATTTTGTTGTTGTAGAGAATTCCCAGTGAGGAAATTCCTTCTGTAACTATGAGAGTTGCCTCCAACACTGATAGGTTAAGTGACCAGTAAAACAGGAAAAGACATTTGTCATAATAAACTGCAACCCTGGTCTTACTAATTCTTTTTTTTTTTCATTCTTTTTTTTTCTTTCTTTTTTTGGTGAGGCAGTTGAGGTTAAGTGACTTGCCCAGGGTCACACAGCTAGTAAATGTCAAGTGTCTGAGGTCACATTTGTACTCGTGTCCTCCTGACACCAGGGCCAGTGCTCTATCCACTACACCACCTACCTGCACCTTACTGACTAATTCTAAGACCTGCTCTCCATTTATCTGAGTTTAGCTACTCTTACTAGGGATTATTAACCTGGAGCCTGTGAACTTTTTCTTTTTAAAACTGTATTTCCATATAATTGGCTTTTTTTCCAATCCTGTATATTTTATGTTTTTATAATTTGTTTTAGTTTTCAACATTTACTTGCAGTCCTATATATTTTAATCATTTGAAAACATTTTGAGTAGGATTCATTCCCCCTCCCCCCCAAATGGTAAGACTCCCATCTTAGAGTAATGAAATCTATGTATATTACTTGTTTTGTAAATAGGGCTTGCTTTGTTAATAGGATATGTGGGAGGCGGGGACGAAACTCAGTAATTTGAATTGGAGTAAAGCGGCAGGCATTCAAGGGGTTTCTTTGGAATGTGGTAACAAAATGTTATTTAGAGTAGATGAGCATAAGTATTTAGAAATCATTGTAACAGATGGATTGCCAGTGGTCTGAAATAGAAAACTTTTATTAAATAGCAATGTAACTTGGTCCTCAATTTCCTCATCTATAAAATTAATGAGTTAAAGTAGATTATATCTAAAGTGATTTCAAGCTCTAAATTTTCCTGATAGTTCAACTTAAAGTTTAAAGTAGTATGTTGCTTATAACTTGATGATAATTTGTAGCCAGTGAGGAAAAAATAACTTAACTTTTATTTTCTTCTGCATATGATGAGGTAAAAAAATAACAAAAGTATATCCCCAACCTTTAATTTCTTGAAAGTGTTTTGATTCAGATCCGTGAAGGAAAAAAAATTTTTTCCCTTTGTTTTAGAAGCATCCAGCTGTATTCCTTATTCAGATATTCAGCAGGCTTAGTTTTAGGAATTCTAACAACATTTTGCTTCCACTCAACTTGGTTTAATTGGTACTAAAGAATACCTGTTTGTTTTGTTTTGTTTTTACAGCAAATAACAATACTGAGTAATATTTTAGGATCATAAAAATTAAGGCTAGAAGGAGCTTCATCCCAACAACTTCTTTCTGATCTTTTAAGATCTAAGTCAAATTCCATTTCCTTATCTCTCTCTTCTCTGAACTTTTTTTACACTAGAGAAGCATCAGTTTTCATATTCAGGGAGTAATTTTGGTGTCACAAAAATTAAATGTTAGATGAGACATAAAATCTTCCTTACATTAAGCAATTAGCATTTATTTTCTGGTGTTGTAAGCAGTTTTTTTATGTATATGTATTTTAATCTTCCACTCAAATTATAAGCTGCTTGAGGGCTGGACCATGTGTTATACTTATTTGTATCACCCACAGCATCTCTTAGATGACTTCCAGATGGTAAACACTTGGCAAATATTTGTTAATATAATGATTGACTGCTTAAAATTTTTTTTTTTTTGGTTATTGACAATCAGCTAGCATTTCTAAGGTACCTACTATATGCCACGCACTGTGTTAAGCCTAGGAATTTGAAGGAAGGAAGGAAATTAGCACATATTAAGCACCTACTACATTGTAGGTACTATGCTAAATGCTTTACAAATATTTCTTTTAAACTTCACAGAAACTCTGAAGGGTAATGCTATTATTGCCCCCATTTTACATTTGGAGAAACTGAGGCAGAAAAGTGATTTGGCTAGGGTCACATAGTAAATATCTGAAGCTTGATTTAAACTCGGGTATTCCTAACTCCAGCACCCTATCTACTTGGCCACTTAAAAAACAATCCTTGCTCTCAAGGAGTTCACAGTCTAACAGGGGGAACAACGTGGGGGAAAAAAACTTTATGTATAAACAAGGTATATTCAGGATAAATTGAGGGTAATCTCAGAGGGAAGGCATTAAGATTAAATAGTAATGGGAAAGGCTTCTTGCAGAGCATGAGACTTAGCTGAGACTTGAAGAAAGCTAGGAAAGCTAGGAGGTGAAGATGAGGGGGCAGTGCATTCTAGTCATAAGGGACAGCCAGTAAAAGCTGGATGATAGAGTATCATATATGTGGGGAACAGTAAGGAGGCAAATATCACTGGTGGTTATGAAGCTTTAGATGCCAAATAAAAAGGTTTTATTTTTAATTCTGGAGGTAATAGGGAACACTAGAGTTTACTGAGGGAGACATGAGGTGACATGGTCACACCTGCAGTTTAGGAAAAGCATTTTGGCTGCTAAACTGAGATTGGAATAGGGAGAGACCTGGAAGGGAAATAGGAAGAAAGAGACAGTGTCAGTAAATATTTACTA